AGTAGCGGCAATAAGTGGTGGTTGAGTTGAAGATGTAGTAGTAGGTGCCGGTTTATTGAAACCAGCAAATCCCGATGAAGCTGCAGTTCCTGTAGTTGATTGATGTGAGGCTCCAAAGCCAGAGAATCCCGATGGAACTGTAGTTCCTGTAGTTGATTGATTAGAGGTTCCAAAGCCAGAAAATCCCGATGAAGTTGTAGTTCCTGTAGTTGATTGATTTGAGGTTCCAAAGCCAGAAAATCCTGATGGAGCTATCGTTCCTGTAGAAGATTGATTTGAGGTTCCAAAACCAGAAAATCCTGATGGAGCTGTCGTTCCTGTAGATGATTGATTTGAGGTTCCAAAACCAGAAAATCCCGTAGATGTCGTTACTTGATTCGCAGTTCCAAACGTTCCAAATCCTGGTTTAGAATTATTAAAAGGCGATTGCGGGGTAGTTGTATTTGCAGCGCTGGTTGATGGTTGAGTTGTAGTTGTTGTTCTTGTTCCAAAACCGGCACCAAATACTGAAGGTGTTCCTAATCCAAACGTAGAAGTTGCATTTCCCCCAAACGTTGCTTGGGAAGTAGGTGCAGATGTTGTCGTTGTTGTTGTTGAATCATCCTTTTTTTCACCATTTGAACTAGAAGAACTAATTTGTGATCCTGTCGAGGCTCCTCCTGTTGTGGCTCCAACTGAATTAATAATCGTACCGAAAGGTAAAGGTGAAGGTTGTGTTACAGAAGACGTCGGTTTGCCAAAACCAGATGTTGTTGGAGTATTTGCAGAGGTAGGAAAAGCCGAAGAAGTATTTGAAAATAAGCCGCCAAAGGCTGCGGGACCAGAAGCGGATCGAAATTGTGTCGGAAAAGCAGTACTCGGTTGAGAACTACTTGTTGCTGTAGAAGTTAAGGCGAATCCAAACTGTCTATTGTTGCTTGCACTATTTGTGCTTGATGCAGGTTGTTCACCACCTTGTTTTGTGTTATTTTGTCCAAGTTGAGAAGGTTGATTTGAAGGAGGTAGAGCTTGCTTCTCTTGCTTCTCTGTATTATCTCCACCGGTTGCTGTTGACAAATTAATTGAATGACACGTCTGAAGAAAAGGTAAAACTTTGAAAAACTTTAAAAGACTTACACATTTTGCAATAATAAAAGTTTATTTAATAAATATTCTTTATTCTTTTTAAAATGCAAATTTTTACGCTATTTAAACATGAATAACTGTCACATGATAGTCACATGTCGCAACGCGAAAAGGTATCGAATTTTATCACTATATCCGTAGCAAAAAAAAGAAACGAATTTGTCATAAGAATGGTAAATTTCACTTCAAATTTGTTAGCTTATAATATCTTTTAGATAAGAACATATTTTTAATTTTTAATAGGACCAGTCAAGCAAACAAAACGCTGCCAAGTCGCCACCCCAACATAACCGCGTCTTGCAGGAAATCACTGGCCCTTTGGTTTTTCAGTGTTTGAAATGTCGGTTGATTGTGGGAGATTCGTTCGCATTTGTTACAGCAGATCGTGAATTGAATTCAGTCGTGTTATATGGTTAGTAGATTTAAAACTTCTTTACGTGTTTAATTTTGTAACTCGATTATTTATCAGTTTTTTTTATTGTTGACCTTAAATATGAATTTCAGCAAAACCCCACAATCTTAGGCTTGGTACTGATCTATTATGGTCAAGAGAAGGCATTGACGTTGGAAGGTAAATATGAATGGAATATTGAATCTTTCAATTTGCTAAGACGATGACTCATTTTCCATCTCGATTACATAGTACATTTAATTTGATATATTGCATTGATTGTAATTCGACAATCGGGAAAGTATGGCGTACAACGCCACGTAAATTCGATTATATTCGGTATTAAATATTATATATATTCTCACATTTTAATTCAATAAATTGCTCATGTGCGGAAATTCGATTTGCTTCTCTTCTATAAAGTGATTTGTACTCGTTAAATCTAGATCGCGTAATGATGTAAGTATTAATTTTAATAAATTTAACATGGCCAAGAAAATTTCATTAATTCATTGATTTCACTAGATATCAACTTGGAGATTTTATTGATCCAAAATCCACGCCGTCAGATACTCATACTTTACCGAGTGCTAGGATGCAACAAATATCAATAAATAAGGTATAATCTTTAATAAGAAGCTCATAAAATTTACGCGTCACAATGGACTAATTTATTGATTTTTAACATGAAAATGGTAAAAGCTTAAAGACATGATTTTAATGCTTAATGAGCGAATTACAACAATGGAGCATGCTCTAAGTAAATGCGCCAACATGACATCGAATGATTCTGCGGCATCCTCAAATGAAGGTAACGCGTGTATTGTCACGTTTCGTGGTATGAAATTCATTTAACTTAAAGTTTTTATTAGGGCGGAATAAATCAATCGAGGCGCATCCAAACCATCGAATTCTAGGATAATTTGATTGTTTGAATTGTTGAAATTAGAATTTATAACGATGCGCTTTCTATTTTTTTTTTTTTTTCAACACTTTGAACGAGTTTTTCAGAGTTTGTTGCGTCAATGGTAGTCAATGGTACTACAATTCGAATAAATTATTAACTTCGCAAACGATTTTGTTTACTTTCATAATTTAATATATTCATTATGAACTTGAGAACTTTTAACATTCAATTATAAGTCACGTGGTTTAATTAGCACCGACATCTTGGAAGATAAATTATTAAGAGCAATTATTTTGTAACTTATACAATTTCAAAAAGCGCGTATTAACTTAAAGAAAAAAAAAATCTGATTACATTCTACTTGTAATGAAATTATTTAATTCACTATAGACCTTTTTCACTCGCGACTTAAATGGTATAATATATTCAAATAATTAAATTCTAAGCAAATATTTTGTTTTTTTTTATTAATAATATGATAAAATAAATTGTTATGATAATCTATGATTATTGAGGTTTCAATCACTATAAAATAATGATTATTATTAGTGTTAAGAATTATAATGAGCTTTTTAAAATATTTATAATATATACATACCACTTTCTCTTCTTTCAGGCCATCCTTGAACAATGTGATATACGGTGTAATCCCGTCCTCGCGATAATTCAATAATGCGATCATACCATCTTGACTAAAGCTTTCACCAGTATAGAACTGATAATCTATTTGATATTTTTTTTTTTTAAAAAAAAAAAAATTGAAAAGTTTCGATTATTATTCTACTTTTCACAGAAAAAAAATTTTTTTTTTTTCTTTATATTTTTAATCCTAAATGTTACCTTTGAAATTATCAAAGATTTTTTTAGAGAAAGCGCTAATTTTCCCTTGCCATTCTTTTACATCTATTTCTGGGTTTTTCTCTTGAACATGTTCAGCAAGTTTTTTCAAATAACGCTTAAGATAGGTTTGATAGGCTTTCTTCTCAAAAGAAGTTTCTTGAAGACGAAAAGCGTGAATTACATTATTAACTTTTTCGGAGCCCTCTTCGAGAGCTTCTTCGCTCTCTTCAGCTGAGGGATTTGCTCCAATGTCAACATCAGCTCCTTTCTTAATTGTTACAAGCTTTTACATGATAAATGACAAAATCCTTACTTTAGATTAAATACATTTTTAAAATTTATAATGAAATTTCTAAAATCAATAGAAAAAATTTGCAACCTGACAGTCAACTTCAAAGGCAACGTCGTCAACCACTTTCATAGGGTAAGCATCAGAAACAAATTCGTCACCTAAGAAAATAAAATAAAAATTTAATATTTTCCCTTAATTTTTATTTTATTCAAAATTCATACCGCTAATGGGGTCTTTGTAGATAATCATTTTTTGTGAAGATGGGCTTTCCTTATTAATGATGAAAAAAAAGAAATTCAAAAAATTTTTTTTTTTTTTTTTTTTTATATATATATATGATGATCAAAAATGAATTTGATTTGACGAAATTTTCATTGGTTAATTTATATTCATTATAGCCAACATTTTTAATGATTAGGTAGGTCACTTCACGAAATTTTTTTTATTAAATAAATATTTATTAAATTCATAAACAAAATTCAATAATTATCTATGATTTCTACTTTGATTACAAATTATTAAGTAATAATTGACTTAAAAAACAAAAAAATAATTAATTGTAATATTACAATCAATTAAAGCTCGTATCTATTTTTTCCGATTCCAACCAATTCAACATCGAATACAAGAGCAGCATTTGCTAAATTATTAAAAAAAAAAAAAAAAGAATGTAAGTCATAAGAATCTTTAAAATTTCAAACAGTAGATAAATTGTTCTAACAATTAATTACCGGGAATGAGTGGTGGATTGCCTCTTGGACCATAACCCAAATCAGAGGGGATAATTAATTTGCGCTTTTCTCCAATACACATGCTTTGGAATTTGATGGAAAGTTTAATAAGACGTGTTGAAAAGTAATCAAATAACATTGAAAACTAATGAATCATATAAGACTTACCCATGCAAACCTTGATCCCAACCTACATTGTATAATGAATAAGTCAATATAAAAATTTAAAAAAAACGAAATACGACATTTTTGATTAGGATCCAAACGAACCTTTAATAACTTGATTGCCACCTAAGGTGAATGTAAAAGGTGTACCACGGGGAATACTAGAATCAAATTCTTTACCATTTTCGAATAATGTTCCTGTGTAGTGAACAGATATCGAATCCCTAAAGAAAATATCGTCATAAAGAATTCAGCGGAACTCGGATTTTAACGAAATTGATTTGAATTTTAAATTTACCCATTCTTAGTTCTTTTACGACATATCCCATCGGGAATACGATTCTTAATACCTTATATCATGAGTGCATAAGATAAAAAAACGTTAATACACCATACATGAAATGCACTGTACGACAAGATAAAGTAAAGAGTACTTACCAACTTGCAAATTCTTTGGAGGTTCCTTAGCATCAACAAAAAGACTTGTCAAGCAAACAATAACAATGAAAAACAAGATTATTATATTTTGTCTCATTTTCAAAAAGTTTTTTTTACAAAAATAAGTTTTGGGATAAAAAATTATTTTGTTCACCAGTATTAAATACGTGAAAAATTTTAATTTTGTGGATGAACTTAAAATAAAAAGGAGTGGGGAACTCGAGATCCCACAAGTTCAAAAAAAGGTAGAAACCTCCGTTGTCAATAAATGATTGGTAGAAATAATCAATAATTTGGGTACAATGTTCATTATGTACATTAGCGCGTAATTTTTTTTTTTTTTTTTTAAAATAAGAAATTAATGAGAGATCAAAAAGTTTGATGTTAATGAAAAAAGGGTTTCATGTTTTAATGTACTGTATCAAAGATTTCATTGGATTTGTCTATGTAATAATATATTATACATTATTTCATAAATCTTATTGGTAAAAAATTAAGACATCAAAAATACGTGCCTACTAAATACTTTGCATAACACAATGATTTTTACAAGTTGAATGAATTTCTCCAAAACCTTACCAGCAACTTTGATATGGTTTTATCTGATCAGCTTTTAGAGGTTGTGGATTTGTTATCTGATGAAGAGTTTGAAACTCTTTTGACAATTTAGAGCTTGGAATTAAAATTGCTTTAGAATCTTTTCAAAATGGTTTTCACAATGGCTACATCTAACCAATGGTGACCTTGCCGAATTGGTGGGAATAATGCGCAATCATTTGCATCTAGCTTTTATCATGTGATACTTGAAAAGCTTTAGATTTCTCCACCTTCTGATTTAGAATTACGATTTGCTCAGGATTTAAAGATAATGGAATAACAAATAACTTTTGGTTTGAGCGAATTGCTGTACCAAAATGGCAATTTCCTCGAAGAATTTACATAATTCTGCATTTGCAATGATCCAAAGCTGTATCTTTTTCCAAACCTTTATGATTTCATCAAAAGCAACATCTATTACATTGTTATCTACTAGCAGCAAGTCAAGGGACTCTTAACAAATTGGATTTGAAGACACATGCAAACATGACATCACAAATAAAACAGTCAAAACTTCGTTTGTCATCAGATAAAATTTCAAAAGAAAATTTGGAAAAATTAAAGAAAGTGCGAAAACAAATAAACGAGTTAATAAGTTCAATTTAGGAAATACAATCTCAGCTATTTGGGCCTTTCAAAGCTTTTTAAATAATTGCTTTGCTAAATTTAATTGCATTATCATTTAAAATTAATTAATATTATCGTATTATATATATATTTGCATTATTGTAAAATTAAAATTAGTAACTTTTGATTTACATAGCTGACCGCGCACCCAATGTCACACTTCTGTTTTTAATTGGAAATTTTTCGGTATGTGATTCCTTATTTGTCATATTATTTGTCACCGAGACTATCACTTAATGCCGTAATTCTGGCCAAAAATTCGTGATCGAACACGGCTTTAGCCACCCCCCATGTTTGGAAACGTCCCGATCAGCATTTCATTATGACAAATTTGGTAAAATCTTAAAATCTTTGACTGGTTTCATGTGACATTTAATCGCGTAACCACTATATTTTTGTCGCGTTTTGAATACAAATTTACTTCTTTTAAAAAGAACGGATTTGATTACTTTACTCAAACTTTTGTAGACGATTGGGATCCATTAGACTCAGTGATGTGCATTATGTGCTTCATTGGAATTGGAAGGCCTATTGGAAATTTTGGAAGAATTGGAAGATTTCGATCTTCCAATAAGTCATGTGCATTGGAAGCTTCCAATCAAATTTTTGTACTATTGAAATTGGCTATTAGAAGATTCCAATACAGCTTCTAATACTTCTAATACTATTTTTAATCATAGATAATCAATCATAGATAATCTTAAATCTTATATAACTTTAAAAAATCTTTTATAAGAATTTTTAAATATTTTATTAAAATTTTTTATTTTTGTATTTATCTATTATAATGAGTATAAAAAAAAAAATAAGCCCAAAAAGTATTGTTTAATATAATATATTAAAGTTATTAATAAGCAAAATAATTGGAATATCTTTACTGTTTATCTTGCATATTCAAAAAATTTAAAAGAAGGTGAACTCTTAAAGCATATATTTACAAATAAAAAATCACAAGTAAAAAATCATTTAAAAAATTGTATAAACTTTCTAGAAAAAATTGGTTATTAAGAAGAAGTAGATGGTATTATAAATTTAACAATAATGAAAATGATAAAGTTGCAAAGTAAAAACGCTTAAAAGTTGATTTAGATTCTGATAAGATTGAAAAAAACAGTACTCAAATACTTGAAATCTATGCAAAATAATTTTGATATTATATTTCTTAATTTTTCAGAAGAAAAAGTATCTTTAGTTTGATCTTTTACTTCAACATCAATATCAACAGTATCATCTAAATGTCACCTTCATCTAGTTAAAACCAATGATAGTATAATGAAAAATATTATTGTTTAAACTCCTACAAAAAAAAGAATAACCTATATTTGAATATTTTTTATTAAGAATAACTATATCAAATAGGTTTTCATTTCAATGAATTGAAAATAAAACAACATTAGAATTATTTGAATTTTTAAATCTAAATTTAATTTTACCAAGACAAAAAGCTTTATTAAATCATATATTAAATAGTGAAACAATAAGTGTAGATTCATTACAAAATGAAAAATTAAATAATAATAAAGTTGGTATGATATTAGTATTTGATAAATGAAAAAATGTTTTAAATCAACATATATATTTGGATTATTTCTTTAAGTGAAATTTTAATATAAAAAGCATTAGATATTAGTAATGAAAAAGAATGTATAATTGAAATAATATCTAAAATTGAGGATTTAATTAAAAGTGCTAATGATTTAAATACAAAAATAATTGCTATAATTTCTAATAATGCTGCAGCTTATACAGAAGCTTAATAAAATTAATCTATTACATTTATTTATTTATTTTTTAATTATTTAAAATTAATTTTTATATTATTATAGACAATGACTTCATTTAAAATAACTTTACATTACATTTTTGCCTTGCTTTACACATCAATATCAGTTAGCAATCTATGACATCTTTAAAAAATCTTTTATTTTAAAATATGTATCAACTAAAACAATTACAGTGACAATATACTTTAAAAATTAACATCATAGCTATTTTATTAGTAAATTATGAGATATACAAAAGGAGTTATATAGTAAATATTATTCAATTATAATTTCAAGTGAAACTAGGTGAAATAGTTTTACTTTTATTTTAAAGTTTAGTTTAATCTAAGTAGGCTTTATAAGTAAGTATAAAATTTAAAATTATATATTATTTAATTAATTTATTTACCGTATAGTCCCGAAAATAAGCACACTTTTTTTACTATGGAGGTGCTTATTTTCAGGTAATTTAAAAATTATAAAATTTGGCTTCTTTAGAAGTCCAAAATAAATGCTGATTTGCGCGATGTTGCGATAATCTGCGATGATCAGCATAATCGTGATTATTATGCAAACGCGAAAATATATAACACGATATGCGTAATATTTGGTCATACTTGCTTTTAGTCACCATACACAAATATAAACAATGTCACAAAAATGCAAGCGGGTTGTCAAAAAAAGTAAAACCAAAGCAAAAATTCCCAAATGAACCTAAACTTCATACTCTATTAAACAGAAAGAAGTTGTTGTTAATTATGCAAAGGAATTTAGAAGAAATAATGCAGCAGCACATTTTAAGTTTAATGAAAGTATAGTTGGACGCTGGGTTAGAGCAAGCAAAAAATAGACAGATAATGTAAGCAGAAATAGCAAACGTGTTAGTTCTGGGCAAAAGGCTTTTTTTCCCAAAGCTGAAAAAAAGCTCTATTATTGGATAATTGATCAAAGAAAAGTAGGTTTAGCTGTAACCTATGCTATCATCTGAGTCAAGATGTTAGAAATTATGAAAGAGCAAGATATTATAGCTCTTTATGGTGATTTGACAAACAATTTTAGAATGTCAAATCATTAGTTATATGCATTTATGAAAAGGTGAAATCTTTCTTTAAGAAGGTGTACAAAAATTGGACAAAAACTTCCAAAACAAACTGAGGAATTGTTAGAAAATTTCCATCGATTTGTTTTTCGTTTTAGGATTGAAAAATCCTATGAAATATGTAATATCTTCAACATGGATAAGACGCCAGTATGGTTTGACATAGCTGGTAATTTCACTGTTAATTAAACAGGTGAAAAAACGGTTCATATTTGTAGAACAGGCAATGACAAAAATCGTTTTACCATTGTCCTCACTTGTGCTGCTAGTAAGAGTTATTGTATCTATAAGTTTTTCAAAAAATCAATTTTTTTTTTAATTTTTTTACCATTTTTTTTATATAGATGGAAGTAAACTGCCACTAATATGTATATTTAAAGGAAAAAGGTTGAATTGTGGTAAACAAATTCCTATTGATGTGGAAGTTTGGTTCCAAGATAATGGATGGATGGATACAAATCTAATGATAAAATATATCGATTATTTTAATAATAATCGATTTATGGCACTAACAATACTTGTTTATGATTCTTTTCGAGGTCATTTAGAAAAATCTGTGAAAGAAAAATTTTATAATGGTAATATTGATTTAGCAATTATCCCTGGTGGCTTAACAAGTATATGTCAATCGCTTGATGTTGCCATTAATAAACCATTTAAGGATAACCTCCGTAAAGAATGGCATTTATGGATGGCAGCTGGTGGTGCTGGGGTGACTTCTGCAGGAAATCTTAGACGCGTTAAATATAGTGATGTTTGTAATTGGGTAAAACGTTCTTGGAAAGGTATATCTGAGAAAATTATTATTAATTCTTTTGTAAATTGTTCTATAACAGATTCTTTAGATAATTTATATGATAATCATGAAGAATTAGAAATTTTCGATATTGATGATGGTAGTTATGATAATATTCATAATAATGATTAATTAGGCGGGTTTTTATAATAATTTTGTAATAGTTAATAATAATTTTCAGTTAATTTTGTATTAATTCAGCTTTATTTTCAAAT